AGGAAATGCACGCTTCATATATTTGTGGCCCTGATGAGGGCCGTAGGGATATGTTCTACATCCGGTAGCAATCTAAACTTTCTCTGCGGTTTTCTTGGGAAGTAGTACAGCCTGAATGTTGGGTAAGACTCCACCTTGAGAAATAGTGACTTCAGCTAACAATTTGTTTAGCTCTTCATCGTTCCTAACAGCTAGCTGCAGATGTTTCGGATTAATGCGAGTCTTTTTGTTATCACGTGAAGCATTCCCTGCAAGCTCCAATACTTCAGCTGCCAAATATTCCAACACAGCAGCGAGATAAACGGGTGCCCCAGCGCCCACGCGCTCAGCATAGTTGCCTTTCCGCAGTTTACGATGAATGCGACCAACTGGGAATTGCAACCCAGCCCTTGACGATCTTGAGACGGACTTACCCGAAGCTTTGGCCTTACCACCTTTCCCACGTCCTGACATAATTCTTATCACTCAGATTGCTTTGCAACTAACTCCGCTGCTATCTATTTATAGCCCTATCGAGATTTTGTCAACTGAGCTCCACCCTTTTTGGCGGGACGCTGTGGGTGGAGCTTATTTGGCAAATCTGCTCGTCAAGGAGTATAAATATGTAGTTGGAGAGAAGATTGCATTAACTAGTCGAGTAGGTCGTGTCGTGATGCCTCCGAAACCGTCAGTGAAGGGAGCGAAGAAGGCTGTCAAATCGCACAAAGCGAGGGGCGGGGATAAAAAGCGTCGTCCTCGGCGTAAGGAGTCTTACTCTGCGTACATCTATCGAGTCCTGAAACAAGTACATCCAGACACGGGAATATCTTCAAAAGCGATGTCAATTATGAATTCGTTTGTCAACGATGTCTTCGAGCGCATCGCAGCCGAGGCAAGTCGTCTTGCACATTACAACAAACGGTCAACCATTTCATCGCGTGAGATCCAAACTGCAGTACGTCTCATTTTGCCAGGTGAACTGGCAAAGCACGCGGTGTCAGAAGGCACAAAAGCGGTAACCAAGTACACAAGTTCGAAGTGAAATCACGCTCGACATCTGTATTTCAACCCTACGGTCCTC